AGCTTCCTTGGTTCCAGAATTAGCCACTTTTCCGCCAAAAATTTTCACGAGGCTGTACGTGGCAACCACGCATAAGGGGGGCTGATTTTGATAAATTTAAATTGTAGATGAGCTGGGAACATTTCCTGAAATTTTCAGCCTCCCAGCTTTCCTGGTTTCGGAGTTAGCCATTTTCCCGTGAAAAACTTTCACGGGGTCGTACATGGGAAGCACGCATAACGGGGGATGAATTTGATAAATTTAAGTTGTAGGTGAGTTGGGAACATTTCCTAAAAGTTTCAGCCTCCCAGCTTTCTTGGTTCCCAAGCTAGCGATTTCCGCGCCAGAAACCTTCATGGAGCCGTACGCGGGAAACATGCACCTCCGGGGCTAAATTTGAAATCTTTAAGTTCTATATGGACGGGGAACATAATCCCAAAGTTTCAGCTTTCTAGCTTTTCTCGTTCCCGAGTTAGCGATTTTCCCGCCAAAACTTTGAGGCACTCGTACGCGGGGCCTAAACTTGCTTGAGGGTTGGTACCGCGGTCTTGGGGTGGCACTTGGCCGGGGAACCAACTAACAGAATTTTGGCGCCGGAGCTTGCTTGGGTGCCAAGTTGAAATACCCGGACAGACAGACAGACAGACACACACATACACACACCGGGGTCGTCACAATATGTGTTTTTGCATATTATGCAAAAACGTATAAATATAAAAACTAATCAGTGAAACAGGGATGTTTTAGTTCACCATATCGCTTCAACACAGCAGCATAACTGGACCTAGTCAGTGCAGTGGTTCTGGTGTTGATTAATAGCTATCAGTGATCACTTCTTGCGAGAATTGCTTAAAAGCAAGCCGATGGCGGACTTGTTCCAATAGCACATGCCACTACCAATTTATCATCGAAATGAATGAATGAATCGTAGAGGAATTTACTGCCATATTGGCGGAATCAAACCCTCGACCTTCAGCATGATCATGGCCATACTAGTCATCACAGGGAATGTTTGTATGGCCTATACATAAGATCAACTTTTCTGCGCTCAAACACATGAAGAGGAATGCCTGTATCTTGCAGATAAGCTGTCAAATACAGAAAGGGGAACTGTACAGCAAGCGGAAGGAGTTCTGAGCAAAGAGCGAGCAAGTTTGTTTGCATAAAGCAACTTAATACTTGGATGGAAAAAGAAGAGGGGAACTTCGGAATAGCAAGGAACCAGCGACTCCCCGACCAATCGGCAAACATCCCGGAGCTCCTTAGCATTCGACACCACAGTGAAGCGGGCCAGCAAGCACTGTGTACACAAACGATACGATATGAAGTTGGCAGGAGACGAATGGACGGATTGCACGGACCGATGGCAAATAGTAAAGACGGATGGCATTTAAAACTCGCACACTTCAACGCTTTTCATCTTTCGACAACGTACAGTACCGAGGGAACGAGACTAATGGGGGAAAAACTTCTACAGCTAACAGAACAGCAGACTGAGAGCAAACGGAGGCGTTGTGCATCTCTTCTCGAAACCAGCATATAAAATTCTCGACCTCATCGACGTCTCTTTCAAAAACCCGACTCAGGCCTCATCTTACTGTAGGAGAGGCAACAGATAAGGCAACGTCGAGAAACAATAAAATACAAATTCTGGCAGCTCCAAGCATGTCGAAAAGTAACTGTGTCGAATTTTGTAAAACTAAACTTGCCTAGTATGTCAACTTGACCAACGGTCAAGAGGAAGATTCTTACTAATATCAAAAACATTTTCATTTTTGCAGTCTCATATTTATTAAGCCATCCGGTTTAGTTAATACCTGAACAAAAGAAGCACGTCTAACGGATGGTTGAGAGAACCGAAGAATGATTTATCAAACAAAATCAAAAACGGTGATAACGAAGAACTGGAAAATTTCCGCCCGATAGTTTGCTTGCCCATATTCAAAAAGTTGTTCATGGGAATTATGACTAAACGACTAAAAAACGCCCCGGTCAAAAACATCCAGTAGGACCGCTTTTCACCATAAACCAGCTGCCGGAACACGCAAGCGAGTATCGCGGTACTCTCTACCTCTTATTCGTCGATTAAGAAAAAGCATTCGCCAGTGAAGAGTTAAATGTCTGTTGAGGAAAGAATTGATGAGGGACTGTCTCAAAACAGGCAAGGTGGTTGACAAAAACTGCTAAATTTGCTTTCATTCGTGTACTTTTTTTCAAACGAAATCTTTTAGCACCAAATCACCTCAAATCCCCTCTTCTTATCAACGTTTTCTTCCAGATCCGCTATCGTAACAGACATATAAGCTGTTACTACTTCCAATGCTACCGGGATATTTTAATTCCTCAAGACCTCCAGATTCTTCACCGTAACGAAGTATTTTTAGCTTTCAAAAAACCGAGCTGAACAGGAAATCCTGAAAGCGACCCGATCACCCATGCTTCTTACAATCAGCCCGTTGAAACTGTAGACATCGCTAAGTACAGCGTACAGCCCCACTGTACACATACATATCAAATGCTGGAAAGCCTGGCTTAGTTGCGCTTGGCGCGCAGGAACATCCCAATAACATCACTAACATTGTGGTTGTTTAGAGAGACTTGGTATTTTTAGTATATTAAATATTTACTTCGCTCAGGATTTCTGTGCAATACAAAAGCAGAACAGATTTTATCCACAAAATGCCAGTCTCATTCCTTCACTTTTTTTTGTGAGTGCCCTTTGTCCTTGCATTTTAAGTGTTACGGAAGCTTTAGAGATATAAACAATGGATATCCGCGACTGGGAGGTGGAGGAGGAGGGAGGACTTAAAATCGTAAATCCTCAAAAAAGTTGCTAATAATTTCACAAATGTGACATATACTTCATCCAGCTATTCTGTGCTTATTCAATCGTTTGAAATTATTACCCTGAAATTTAAAATTTTTTAGGTACAGTATCTAAAAAAATTTTTAGCAGAAACCTAAAATTTGAAACAGTCCTTAGGCGCAAACATTAGTATAATTAACAAAATTTATCAGCAGACAAGCAAGCATTGTTATGTTACATTTTGTACAGATGCTTGTAAATAATTAAAAGCACCAGGAATTTTTCTAGAATAACTAATATGAAGAAACAACGCAAAATATGCCTACAAATTAGATCCAGTGTTTTCTTATCAAAAAATACACAGTCAGTAACAGTTCAGAAGCAAAACAAAAGCGATTTGCAAGAGAAAGGGGAGGGCGGAGGGGGAGGGGGAAGTGAAGGGAACCAATAATACGACCAAGGTTCTAGAAATCTTCTGGAAACAAATCAAACTCAAAAATCGGGACAAACCTGACCGATAAATTATTGCTCAAGGTTAGTTTTTATTAGATAAATCCCTTACCTTTTTCATATAAACGCGTAAAAAAGAAACATTTTCTGGATCTGATGATGAGGACGATGGGGTGAAGAATACTTTGAAATGACTCTTTTCTTCTATGAAAATAAAGAAACACCAAAGTAAATGAGCAGCGCATATGCGAATTACCATGTGCTATCTTAGGCACGCAATATACAGGGATAATCAAAAAAGATAAGAAGGGTAAATAACAGAGGACTTATAAGATGTTATGCGTTTTATTCACAACTACTGAATATCCCCCACCGGCTTACAGTACTCGAAAAAAGAGGCCAGTGGGGATAGTTTCCAAAAAAAATTGTCGTGCGAGGACACAGTTTAGAAATGAGTACCACAAAAGCTGAAGAGAAGCTGCTCAGTAACATCAGTATTACAAATATCAGTAGTCCAGAAGTTTTCTGGATCCATTAAACATTATAACACAACACACACATAGAGTTGACAAAAGCCTCAAAATATCATGCATTTCTAAAAAGCTATGCTCTGAGAACTACTGCAATAATGTGCGTGCAACTCAACTACCTAGAATTAACTGTGAGTTTATAGAGGGAAAAGTAATACAAGAGGTGGTGGTCTAATTTCTTCAAAAACAACCACAAACACAACTCCTCAGCACAACTGCACAAGGACAAAGAAATTTAATAATCATGCAAAATGTACAAGAATAATGAGCAAGTTGGAAATGATTGAACATTCATCTGATACATGGATCTAAACCTCAAGCAAAAATTCTTTTCGAAAACTAGAAAAACCAAAGTATCATGAAAATAAGAAATCCAGGTTTCAGAAATCAAAATACCGTGGAGCTAAGAAAGTCATGATTTACGAAACAAAGCCCTACAAAACCATGAAAAGTTCAAGCCTGAAAATCAAAATTCAGCAAAACTAAGAAATCCCTGCTCTAGAAATCAAAGTCCCATGGAAATTAAAAAGCTAAAATTCCAAGTCTACATGGTCTACAACGCAGGACAGCCAAAAAGAAAACGTAAGAAGAAAAAATAATTTTTTGGAGGATCGGATGAGCTGGGAAAAAATTAACGAAGGAAACTGTTAATGAATTACGAAAAGCTCCACAGTCCCAAGCTCTGGTCCAGGACAAATACAGCCACGTAAAAGTTTTGGAAAAAAAAAAACGAAAAATGGTAATCATGCTCAGTTTCATTCTATGATTAGCTGACAATTTTGATCCATATCTTTTAAACAGAAAGATTACTAATAGAATTATGATGACGTTCAAAGTCATTTTTCGTTAATAAAACTCAGTGATAAACAATCGTTGTGATTAAACTGGCAATACGGCGCATGGCATGCGTGAATTTTTCAGTAGCATCACTAGCAAGAAATCTTCAATATCGGCTGCCTTTGCGGCCTTGGTAATTAAAGAATAAAAAATGAATCAGTGATGACCCGTGTAGCAAGAATGTATATGTATATCTGCAAAAAAATACAAAATTATGAATAAAAGAAGCGCCAAAAATAGACAAAAAAAGTTGCTTTTCATGAAAGCCGGGCAACTCGCTCTGGTTTTGAAGGGGAACTATTCGGTGAGAAGGCAAGAAGCATAAAAGATGAGACTGTCTGCTTTACCTCTCCTCCATCAAATTGTTCGCAATCACAGCGGCACTGGTATGATGAAAAGCATTGGATCCAGCGGGGTATTGTGATTGCTGTGAAAATCGATCATATATTTGGCGCATAAGCAATAAATCAATGTGGCACATTGCTCCTCCGTTAAATTTTCCACATCAATGAATGAGAGTTGCCGTGGAAAGTCTTTTAGCATCATGGAACGCTGCACAGCGCTTGCTCCTAACCAAATATCCACCATTGACACGCTACCTCTATGTTCAAACAGTTTTGGATGTCTGGTAAGGATTAGTCGTTTTAGCAGATGGTTCGCTCGATTGCTTGCAAGACGTTCGCTATCGGTGCCCGTTTCATCCGTGGTAATCATTTCGTCCTGTGTTCGCCTAATTAATACCACTGGTCCAGTGTATGATTCGAGCTGAAATAGCATGAGTGAAGCAAACCTCATAAACTACAAGCTGGTGAAGCCCTCATACTGTCATGTAATAGATCAAATAATGATTAATGGTTTTTGTTAAAAACAGGTTAAAGAACAACCGCGTTACTATGACGCAATACCCCTGTCCCTGGTTCAAACTTTGGACACCCTACCCTCGTTAAACTTCCGATCTCTGACCTTTGGGATATAAAAGCACTCCTCCCCCTCGCCGGGATAGCCACTATCCATCAACCCCTCTCGACCTATATTATTTAGCTTCTACACCTGTTCTGGAGAGCTTCGGCTCCCCAGAGCCTCACCACCTTTGTCTGTATTATCTCTTTAACATGCTATGTATTAACAAATATGTATATAGGACGCGGCGTTGTGCACACCCATACACGCTCCTAAAAACTGGGCATACCACTAGTCTAAGAATATTAACTGGTAGGGTCACGATACTACAAAACTATCAACATCGTCCTAAAAATCACACAAGAAATTTAAAATCCAGGTAACGTGTGCTCAGATGTCCATGGTGCCCACCCGTACAGAATGTCTGCTCTGAGATGCCCATTACTTGGACAAGTCGCTCCGCCTCCGCCGCTGATCTGCGGAGCGCTCCGCCTGCTGACGGGTGAGGCGGAGCGACATGCTTGTGTAACGGCCAGATTATCATAGAAGTAACAAAAGCATCTTGCATGTACAGCTGAGTGCATGTGTTACTTGTAATGTGAAGTTTCCCTGTTTCTCCTCCTAGTTGTACTCCTGCCCCTCCCGGCTGCGCCTTTGCCCGGCCCTCCCTCGGCCCACCCCAAATCTCAGTTGTAATTTCTGTCTACCACTGAATTACTATTTTATCCAAATGGGTTAGGATGAAGTTCGTTCACTTCATCAATGTTGCTCGCAATGAAAACTTCATGAATGTTTCTCATACGTTATTCGCCAAACATAAGTGATTTAGCTGCTCGCAACGAAAACTATGTCTTTTGCGATACACAATGGTCTAGCTGCTTGCCGTTAATATCCAGAACACTTTACCAAATCAGGTTGCACCCACATCCAGAGAGAGGAAATGAAAATTTTGAGCAATATGTGTTCTTTTACATCGTATTCTACTTCAGTTAGTTATTCTGTAATTCTACTGCCTCTATGCTTGTAGGAACTAGCTGTTTATCCCACTTTTAAATATGTGTTTCGCGAAGAATAAAAGTCAACGCTTACAATAAAAACATTACTTACAAGCAAAAGATAGGCTTCAGCAAGTTCTAAATTTAGTTATAAGTCTACATAGTTCAAACATAAAAAGACAGGAACAGTAACTTAGCAAAGGGGCAAAAAAAAAACCACACTATTGGCGCGGAATCTGGCTATTAAGGCAAAAGTCTCATTTTTTCTAAAAAATATTGAATATAGAGCCGAAAGCTTCTATATCTCAGAAGATACATCTAGCACACTGGGAAGCAGCCTGTATTGAATCTCTCAATGAAAAATCACATATATATCTCAAATGTCTGTTCCAAAAACAGCAAATAACAACCTGCAGGGCAACTGGCAAATCAAAATACGTTCTAACAATGAATTCAACCAATGGCGCCCAAGACTGTGGCATTTTTGCTTTGGCAAGTGGTAGGAGATCATCAAATGTTGCATCCAGAATCAGTGCCTAAAATGACAAATATTTACGATAACAATCTTAATCATTTAATAGCCATGATATCTCATCGCCGTGCAGTATAACAACGTTCGTGGAAAGGTAGTAATGGGACAACAAACAGAAACGGAATCTTGAGACCGTTCATGCCTCGCAATTTGCTTTTGCCTAGAAAACTGTCAGACTGGTAATTCTTTTAGGAGACGCATATGGCAAGTTCACCACAATAATGACTATCCGGCGCTGCAGCAACTGATTGGAAAAGCTGCCGGATGATTGGAATATCAGATGTCCCGGAAAACCAGCGGAAAGTCGGTCAAGAAGCCACCACAAAAAAAAAGAGAAGAAAAGTTGTGCTTTGCCCTCAAAGGCAGATACACAGTAGATGTGCTGCCAGGCTAGACCTGGAGCACAAGGGTCGGTGGTGTAGTGGAAAAATACTGCGTCCGGACATGAACAGGAGTGGTTCGATCCCCTCCCGGTGCAGGACAACTTTTGGAGAAAGGGCTACGAATTATACCTGAATACGTTCGCGAGACCAGATTACAAATTATATCTGAATAAAGTAAATACTCCAAAAGCCATCTTAATAAGTTACAAGATTCCCGAAAAAGAAGGGTACGAAAATCAAATTTTATACTTTAATGTACGGATAATTAGCAGCAGCCCATGTTGCGGGAAATCCACCAATTGACCATGCATAAATAACGATCTGATTCTCACTAAAACCCAATTCATGTATCGCATACTGCATAACAGCATCAACTGCTGCTGTTGTTTGCTTTGGTGTCGGCATTCCACCACTTTCACCAAATCCTAAAAAATTCATTTTAAGCTCAGCAAATATTACAGTGGCAACAACAGTAACGGCAATAATGACAATAACAATAATAATAGAGAAAACGTTAACAAAAATAATAATATTAGGGAATAACTTTTGATGATTAGTAAGCAGTGCTTTCCCATCGGATACAGACAAAATTACTGCAAATTACGGTTTAAAAAATGTAGAGTTCTTTAATAAATTAATCAATTCACAAATGTAATTAGAAGAAATTTAGGTATTATCAAGGCATGCATCTCATGATCGAACAGCCTGACATCACTGCACTTAACGTCTGGAAGCATTTCAGACGCTAGCACTACCAACATCGGCTCCCCACAACCACTGTTAGGGCGGTTTTGATATCTTTAAAGGTCTACCAAAAAGTTGAAAAATTAGAATCAGACAGCGGTAACGAAATTACAAAAAAAAAAATACCAGGCTGGTTCCATCCAAGTACAGAATAATTCAATGCAAGCGGTGTCAACATGATGCCTGTCTCATAAAATCCAGCATTCCCTTCACATGCAACGACCAAAATGTTCCCTCTTGTGCCACTACCTCGCCGATCAACAAACATTGCATCCACGCGATTTCCGTCAACTGTCACCACCACAGCGCGTCTACCGCCCTACATTTGTCACAGTTCAGAGAAAAAATTATTTTGAAAACCATGAAATGCACGATTTTTTGTCTTTCGTGATTTTTTTTTGGCGAGACTATTCCCATATATTTTTGAATCACCCGGTTTTTCTACTCGACAGCCAGAAAAATTAAGTAGCAGAATTTTCGATAACGCGGCGTATGATCTTGTACTGGCCCCGAGATTAGTATTAGTTGCCCAAAACAAGAATGAAACAAAAAGATACCTTTTCAACCACAAGCCGACGTCGATGCTCAATGAGGAATGACTCGATTAATTTGTTCAAAAACGATATGGAGCCAGGATAAATGAGACCACGAGCAAACTCAAAAATGATGTTATAGGATAAGTAATCTCGAAACACTGTGTACAGTAAACTGTCATCTCTTGTGAACCGGCTTGGTGTTTTGAAAAATTTCCTTGGCTCTTTCCTGGCCTGGAAATCCACTGGAGCAGCAAATATCTAAAAACTGCAAAGCATATAAAAGCAACGAATATGCAAATGAAAACAGTAATATCAGAATATTAAACGAATAATTTAAGAAAAATCGGAATTCTCAACATCAGAAAATAGAAAATTTGCAGCATATAGAAAATGGTCTGGGTATCTCGATGTTTGTGATGCTATTATAAGGCACCCAAAAGCTAAGCGTAGGTATGCCAGGCCTTTCGATTCTGCGCTATACAGCTTCGGCCAATACCCAGCAGTCGCAAGATATGTGTGTGTGGGTGGGTGCGTGGGTGTGTGTGTGTTATGCCACCAGAAGCATTTGAAATATTTGAAATATATTTTTTTTTCCTTTCTTTTGTGCTTGTAACATTACTTTCTCTTTTAAATTCAAAGAATAATGAACACAGATGTTGCACCTGATAATCATATTCGCGCAGGTGTGTAGCTGCAACAACAGAATCATCTCTTTTCGAACCAGCCTTCATCAGTGTATCCGCAAAAACACGATAATCCGGATTGAATAGCCTTCCGATGGTGCGTGTACTCATCGCAACCATGTAATATGTGACGGTGAATTTGGCAAATACCATGAAATTTGTCCCATTCAACAACGACCTGTTGTAAGCAATCTAAATTCAAACTATTTCCTTCGTACAAAATTTCCATCAAAATAAAGACATTCTGAATGCCCTTTCAAATGACTGAGGCGATCCCCTCCTTGTGAAACTTTACCACTGAATGCTCACTCATCGCCGTAAAAGCTGAAGCCAATAATGCGCACTGAAGCTTCCTGCGCTTCAACATGTTTGGTTAAAAAAACATAAAAATATTCTATTAACGAATACGTTCCAATGGTGAACCAGTAGGTGTTATAGTAAAGAAGGATGACCCACGTGCCTTCGTATCCACACCTACTGCTCCGTCTGTGTTTACAGCGAAGGGATAAAACACTGACCGCATACTGGTGTGTTTCTCCACTACCCACAGCAACTTCTTCTTTGCTACCCTTCTATTTCTGCCAGTACCGCTTCAGGAACTTCTGTATTCAAAATTTGACGCTCGAGGAAACTCCTCAACGATTAACCCCAAGCAAGTCGTTTTGAATAAGTAATGGACAATGCCATGAAACAAACAGCAAGTGAGGTGAAGAACCAGAGGAACGATCAAGAGGAGATAACAGCCCCGGCATTCTCCAAAACAACAAAAACAGGAAGATGGGTGGCAGGGTAACCGGAAGGAATGAGCACGAAGCGGTTCCGGTCAAAGCACTGCAGAAAATTCTGCCAGCTTTTTCATTGGAAAAAAAAAATGCACAACACGGTGACTGTTTAGGAACGAGTAGTAAGTGAAACGAAAAATCAGAGTAAGCGAAAAATCGAAAAATCTGTGAAGAGCTAGATCCAGATTTTTTTGTCCGAAAGAAAGGCATCCAGGAAACGAATGGTTGGATCTCTTCAGTAAAGATAAACAAAATGTACACAACAACGCAGGAAATTTTGACAGTTGTTTTCTTGACGTAAAAGCGGAATATGATGAAATGCCAGAAATTGATCCATGATCCAAATTCATCACTCTAGAAGCTGCTTTAGCTGACCAACAAAATTTAACAATCGCTATGACCGAAAAATTATTTAATATCAGCAACTTCAAACGGCTACTTATTTATCGCTAGTATTTGCATTCCCAAGCGCTTTCGCAATGGTTTTTTAGCCGAGAACCATGCATTTCTTTTCTTTCTTCATTTCCTGGCTGTTTTGATCAATACCATATCAGCTTACTGGTCAGCTTTCTGGCAATCCTCTACTTCCTTTTCTTCTGAAAAATTACATTCAAAAGAGAAATTCGATATAACAAACCAGCAAAAGGATTGGCGAGATAGCGGCACACACAGATCCACATCCGTTGATAACGGTAAGCATAGTATCGCCCACGTATTCCAGTGAATTGCTCGGGAAAGCAGTGTCACGCTCACGGAAATATGCATAGACTTTTGGACCGGTTACATAGCTCCACAGCATTGCGGCCGGCGGCGCTATCCTTGCCATCGCACCTAAAAAATTGGCCATTTGAGATACAATGCAGAACTACTGCTGCGACCGTTCAAAGGATATCTCGGACATCGCTTGAAAGCCCATTTCCCGGGAAATTCGTCCGAAAATCAAATATCCTCAGTTCCTTCTCAGTATTTGCTGGAATTTAGCGCTAAATGAACAGCTGGAAGGTCATCGAAGCACTACTTGAATGCATGAATGTAACACAAAATCGAAATCGATGGAGAAGTTGCCAGTTGCACAGATGGAGAGCCAGATTATGAATTAAATATTGTTCCGAATTCCTCCCTGATTTTTTCAACAGCGAAGAAACTAAGTCCCGATGATACCTTTACCTGATCTCCCAGTGAAATACCGAGAATTAACGCGTAGGAAAGGATCAGGTCTCTCTGCAATCTTCGAACTCGTTTCCCCGAAAATCGTAGGGAGGCTCCCTCTCTTAAAAATCAATTCATCCGGTCAATCAGTGTGGAAATCCAATGCTAATCACGTTACTGATATACTCACCCAGATGTCAAAAGAGTCTATCCAAGCCCTATATCCTTTGCGGTAGATATCCAGCTGGTTTCACTCTGCACTTCGCCTAATATCTCGTCATAAAATCTTAAGAAAGAGAAAAGCTAGGAAGCTGAAATTTCGAGGTTATGTTCCCCATCCACACAGAACTCAAAGGTTTCAGATTCAGCTGCATGATACCCCTGCATGGCCCCACGAGGGCTCCTGGCGCGAAAATCGCTGTGGCCACACCCAGCCTAGAGATGATGAAAATACTGATGGATCTGCAGAAGACAAAAAAATACATTATTTGACGTCTTTACTGTTTATTTTTATCTCAATTTTATTTTCCTTTCTCCGACTTTTAGGTAACTTATATTGCAATAAAGACTACTATAAACTCATCTGCAGATTTTCCTGTAATACATTAGCCACACCCTTACTACTGACGGAGTGCAGCCGAAGTGTAATGCTTATATGCAATTTGCTGAACCAAAACTTCTTCGCTTTTTTCAGTTTTACCTCATCAAACTCACAACTATTTGAGCAACTATATATAACTTAATGGACCGAAACTTCTTAACTGCCCTTTTTCCAGTTTTATTTCATCAAACTCACAATTATTTAAGCCAACCACTAAGAACTATGCCTAAAATCATAACTATTTGAAGCTTTCAATCACAAAATTTTACCTCTATTTATATGTATAATATAAACAGGAATATTCTGCATGAACAAAGAAGCTCCAGCTCCAACACAACAGCTCAGAAAAAGTAGATTTATTAAATGGACAAGAACAAGAAAAACAATAATAATTATTGAGTATTATTCCTTTTTTTTTGGTACTACCAAATCTTTTGCTGCATCCTCAACTTTGTCCTTTTCGATCTCACCGAATATACCACGATATCTACAGAATTTCCATTTTTTCGATCATAACGAATTTTACGTTATATTCTCTGAATTTTCACTTTCTTCTTTTGTGGAATG